TTTTCCCTCACCCATCCGGTGACATCACAGCACCTTACCATACACATTTGTAATAATTACAAACAAAATAATCCGATACTCCAGAGGAGTAATAAAACACATACGACTCCCCAAAATTTGGGAGTCCTCACCCATTTCAAACATCATCACAAATAATCATTAATACACATCAACACACACTAACACAAGTGCACTCACAAAGCTTTACATTTAAACACCTTAAGTTCATTAAGGTAATTTCACAAATTCACATGAACTACATGCATACACAAACAAAATCCATGTCTACTAATACCACTTAAAGCACTATTTGACCATACCACCATTTATCTGAACCATAACAAATCCCAAATTAACTAAATGTCAATTTACTTCAAATAGCATTCATTTAAAACTCGTCACAAATCAAACCAAAACAGACCAAACTAGCCCAAATCAATCCTTATGTCTCATCAAGGGAGCAGCTATAAGGGTTCCTCTTCCCTAAGCGACTTAATCCAATTCTCCAATTTTCTACTTTCACAATTCAAACATTGACATTCTCACCAACACCAATTGTCCCTATCTGGGGTTCAGCACACACCCTACACATTTTGCAATTCACACTCATCGTTACCATTCTTTATTCACATGCGGACTAGACCAAATTTTTTTTTTTCAATGTTTCACTCTCAACCCGAGGAATTTCCATCCACTTGAAACAAGTCTCACCCAAGCCTCACCATTACATAGAGGGTACTCCACACTCACGAAACCATTCCAAAACACTTCTCAAACTTGCTACTGTACTTACACCTAAGCATTCCAAAGTGACTATTTGTCACCCCAAACTCCGATATCACCCAATTTGGTTAACCAATCAATAAAACTTAAAATTTGACACTCAAACATCTACAGGTTTCCCTAAATCACATACTCCAAGATGGAGTTCCACACACCATTCTCCATACTTCTGGAATTTCACCATACTCCTCAAGTACACGTTGCACTAGTACTATTCCCAACAATCCCATCACTTTTGTGCCGATATGGCAACACCAATTCCAATCACAATAAACAATCATTACCTATACAACACCCATTACAAAAATTATAACTCACATTCCTCCTCAAGAACCACTCCTAGCCTTTAACTATCAAGTTTCCTTCATGCTCATGAACTCTGTATATAAGCCTTAATCAGGTCACTTAACACTTAAATACCACAACCCCCTTTTCTCACTTGCTTCATTAAGGAACACAATTCTTACATTCCCTTTTTAAGCCTTTCGCAATATTCTGCATATCTCAAACCAACCTCATACCATCCTAAGATTTCGCCTCATCTCAACTATACTCCTTTACAGCTCTCATTATCTCAATAACATCTAACATCAACAGGCCGAACTCTAACCCTTCGCTAAGACACTTACTCTTCTTACCAAAACAAAACCAACCCAACATCTAATCACACAATGTATAAACAAATTTTAAGTAACAAACCACATAATTAAGTCAAGTCTACAAGGACAACCACTTCTTCCGGAACTTCCAAGGAACTCCCACTGGAAACTACATTGATCAGACGCGTTTCCAAAGAGATCTCAAAGCAAGTTAGCCAGCCACAAGCACTATCCAAAGAGCTCAACCCACACTCACACAATGCAACACATAATGTCCTACACCTCCTATTTCCTACATGCAAACATCCTCACCAAGCGAAGCCAACCCATTGTGGTAAAAACCACTTTCCACGAGCTCCAGGTTTTCAAACCCGATTATCTCTGATACCAAGTTGTCACGCCCCAAATTTTAACTACTCGAAATCATTACCAAAGCCTTTAATTTAGGTCCATTTTTTTTAATTTTTTTTTCATATATATATATATATATGCAACTATCTATTACACTTGAGAGAAACATAATAATACATGTTCTTTCTCTCAATGAATACAATGATAACAATGATACATGCCAATCTCTTACTGAGAAGCTACAAATAATTAAATACAAATATCAAAATACAACAATTACTTTCTTCACATCCACAACGAAATTATACACACAGACTTATGGACTTCGTAACTCTTCAACTATAGAATCCACACGATACCATATAGTAGGTGACGTTTTGTAATTTCAAAATATCATACATAGGGTATCTTTTCTCAAAATTTATTTGAACAGTTTAAGGGGAACCTTTAACCATCAAAACCATCCTATTTATTAGAAAACCAAAAATCCTTTTTGGAAACAAAATGTTTAAGGAACCACTTCATTTTATACTTATTAACCCATTCCAAAAATTTCTTATTAAATATCCATCTTAACATTTTTCCTTTTATTCCCATTCTCCTCCTTTACTAGTTAAATTTATTACAACTCCATGACCTCAAATTCATGTTCCCTTAATACTCAAAACAACCCTCATACACTCCATTCTCACCTGCTGATCTTTTATTGCTATAACTCTCTAACATAGAAATCCAATAACACTTACATCACATCCACATTTGCATTACCGACTATAATTTGATATATCACTAGGATAATAAATTCTTTTAATTCAATTTCTCAGTTAATCATAAAGCAAAACTCTTAAGTTTTCTTTATAGATACAAATAACCCGGTGAGTTCTTTATCACCAATCCCTTATCCAGCTACCATTTCATTATCCATTCGTTTCAAATAATTCCCATAAGCATTTTCATTCCATACCAATTCACACATCAAATGGTAATTTCACAAGTTCATCACAAGTCACATATATCATCATTGACCTCAATACACGTCACAACACACTCCATCTTTTGCCGGCTTGAGACGGCGGGATAGCGGCCACCTAATTCATAGCACATTCCACCTTTTGCCGACTATTATATGGCGGGAAGTGAACTCCCAAAAATCATTTTCTCAAAAACCATGTCTTTTCCGAAAATCGTTTTCAACCTTTTAAAAACCATCCCCCACATTTGCTGGCTATCATACGGCAAGACGTGGGCACCCAAAACATCTGTTTTTCCACTTTTGCCGGCTACAATACGGCAGAACTATGTGGACACCCAAAAACATTTTTCCACTTTCGCCGGCTACAATACGACAGGACTGTGTGGACACCCAAAATCATTTTCCCACATTGGTCCAGCGATAAGCCTAGACCGGGCAATTGGGCACCTTGAATTTAAACCACCCCCACATTTACCGGCTATTATACGGACGGTTGTGGGCACCGAGAAAAACCATTTTTCAATTTTTAAAAATAATCCCCCACTTTTACCGGCTATGACACGGATGGTCGTGGGCACCGAAAAACCATTTTTCAACTCCCCGCGCGGGTACCAACACGACACCACCCAACACAACTCAACCCAAACTCAACACAACCCAACACAACACAATTCAAACTCAACATAACCCAACACAACACAATTCAACACACTCACCATGATTCAACACAATTCAACATAGTCAACTCACTTCAACATAATCAACACAATTCTACATAACTCAACACAATTCAACATAATTCAAGGTGAACTCTTAAACTTTCACTTCATCATTTCACCCCAAGGCTCATGTCATCCATATCATTAATAAATCATTTTCCCCAATCTTCATTTCACTTTATAATATGATCTACAATGTCCATAATAAGAGTTCATTTGCTAATTTTTAACATAATCTTCAAACACTTCCAAAGTTCAAATTAAACTTGTATACATATAATTGAACACCTCAATTTCATGATTTTACTTTCAATTTGGGCAAAATCATTAATTATCATCATGAATCAATTTAGGGTTTTTAAGCGAAATTAAACCTTTTCACAAAACACATTTTATTCCAACCCTTCTATTATTTTTACACCCAAACTCATGACCCAAGATAATAACCCAACAAATGATCCCAACTCTCTTCAAACCCCAACCCCCCATCTCGTGATTCATCACAATATGGATAAAAATATAAACTTTTGTGTTTAGATAAAGAAAATACCACAAATCAATCCATAGACGAAGATATTGAAAGAGAACTAGAAACCCCTACCTCCTGAAGCCAAGAGATGACGACCCAAAAATCAATGGCGACGAAGCCACGAACCAATCGGACCAAAAGGAAGCTTTTGTTGAGATCTACACTTTTTCTCAAAGGACCATGGTGGAACAATCACTCTAGGTGAGTAGATCTGGAGATCTTAGTGCCAAAAGCTTGAGTTTAGAGAGAGAGAGGAGAGCTCACGGTTTGAGAGAGAGGAAAGAAGAGAAAAAGTGAAATCAAACATGTTTGGAGCCTATTTATAGTGGTAGAAAAGTGGCCCTAAAGTCAATAAAATATTGGGCCCAAAACCCCTCAAAAGTAAGGCCCAAACCAGCCCAAAAATCTGAAAATAACACGCAAGGGTCGACCCTTTCGGGCAAAGGTGTCGACCCTCAAGGAAGAAAAGCAATATGTGCAACAGGCAAGGTGTCGACCCTTTGACCGGAAGGGTCGACCCTATTTTCCAGCAACCAACAACACAGATTTTGCAATATACAAGCGTCGACCCTTCCCAGACTGGTGTCGACCCTTGTGGACAGCAACAAGAGGCAAGTGTTGACACCACCAAGGCTGGTGTCGACCCTATTTTCCAGCGGCACTTCCAGAAACATGACAACATGCAAGGGTCAACCCTTGGGAAGGCTAGTGTTGATCCCAAGGCAAATTTTCTAAGTTTCCAAGGAACTTTTGACCAGAACAAACGCGAACAACCAAACCCAACAAGATTAAATCAAGTGTCGACACCACCAAGGCTGGTGTCGACCCTATTTTCCAGCGGCACTTCCAGAAACATGACAACATGCAAGGGTCAACCCTTGGGAAGGCTAGTGTTGATCCCAAGGCAAAATTTCTAAGTTTCCAAGGAACTTTTGACCAGAACAAACGCGAACAACCAAACCCAACAAGATTAAATTGGATTACACTCCTCCAAAACCAACATTCAATAACTCCAAAGACTCCCAAAATGAAAATAAGGGAATTAAATGCACTCTCCAAAGGATTTAAAGGATGCAGGTGTTACAAATACAGAGTCAAAGTTCAGAAGGTTGTACTTGTGTTGGGGTCTATTGAAGAAAGCTTTTATGAATGCTTTCAGGCCAGTCATAGGAGTTGATGGATACCATTTGAAAGGGTCACATGGTGGTATTCTCTTGAGTACTGTTGGAATAGATGCAAACAATTGCATATTTCCATTTGCCTATGCAATTGTTGAGAAAGAGAAGAAAAAACCATGGTTGTGGTTTCTAGAGCTGCTAGGACATGATCTAAATTTTGTAAACTCTCATTGTTATACCTTCATGAGTGATAAACAAAAGGGTTTGATTGATGCAGTGGCTGAGTTGTTCCCAAATGCTTCACACAAGTTTTGTGTGAGGCATTTGTACAACAATTTTAAGGGTGAACACAAGGGGTTGGTTCTAAAAGATCTGTTGTGGAAGGCTGCAAGGGCAACAACTGTTCCTGTATTTACTAGAGTGATGGCAGAGATTAAAGAAGTTGATTGTAAGGCATATGATTGGTTAGTTGAAAGACCACCAATTCATTGGAGTAGGAGCAACTTTAACACTTTTCCAAAGTGTGACCTTTTGCTAAACAATCTATGTGAGTGCTTCAATTCAAGCATCTTGGAAGCTAGGCGTAAATCTGTGGTTACAATGTTAAAGAAGATTAGGTTGCTGTTGATGGAAATAGTTCCAAAAAGAAGAGATGTAATGCAAAGACATAATGGTCCTATATGTCCTGAAAGTGGATGCAGGTCGATGGATTCCTAAATGGAATGGCAGTGAGAAATTTGAGGTTATAGGGCCATATGGTGAGCAATACAAGCTGGACTTGCAAGCTTGGACTTGTGGCTGCAGGAAGTGGGATCTGTTAGGCATTCCATGTGCCCATGTTGTGGCTGCTACAAATTTCTTGGGTCAAGAACCAGAAAAACGTGTTCATCAGTATTACAAGGTGGAGACTTATCTGAAGATCTATGACAATATGTTGACTCCTATTAATGGTAGAGAAATGTGGCCAAGAACTGAGTATGCAAAGTTGTTGCCACCTGATGTGAAAAAGAGAGCTAAGAGGCCTAAACAAAATAAAAGAAAGGAGACTGAGGCACCAATTCAAGGCACAAAGCTAGGAAGGCAGGGCACTAAAATGACCTGTAATAATTGTGGAAAGGTGGGACACAACAGGAGAAGTTACAAGGTCAAGGGCAGATTCAACTACATGCAAGAAAGCCAAGCTCAGGGGAGCCAAACTGAACCAAGCCAACCTTAGAGCCAATTAACTACAGAAACACTTGATGTCAAGAGACACATGAGACAGAAGAAACTGGTTGTCAGTGTTCTTTCCTTTTTTCTTTTTTTTTTTATATTTTAAATAGTAACTTAACTGTCCTATATTTGATTGTGTTTAATTATGGATAATTCAATCTTATTGCAGGTTAAAAGGAGAGTGATACAAGGAAGTCAATCAACTCCATCTCCAATGAGTTCAACAAGCACACCAAAGGAAGGTCAAATGATGTGGAGAGGCAAGCTAGTGTACAATGCTAATGGCATTAAATCAGCATCCACTGGACAGAAAGAGGAAGCGCCCACTTGACATTTTTTTTTTTTTGGTTGGATAGAAGAAGGAAGCATCTACATGACTTTCTCATTAGGGCTTTTTGTACATGTAATAATTTTTTGTTTTTTTGGAATGGTTGCCCTAAACTTGTTAACTATGTAAAGGTAGTATTTTGGTTGTCACAAACAATTGTGTGTTTTGAAAACTTGAATGACAAATTTATGAATGTTGCTTTTGTGCCCTATTTTCCAGCAACCAAGATGGTACTCCTCATTTCTATGTAAATGTAGCTTGTGTTGGTTTTGGTTGCCATTACATAGATGGATTCCAATTGTGTGTTTTGAATAAATTCCACTGATAGGTTTTTTATTCATTGAATGAATGCCATTTGATGGATGAA